GCCCAGGCTTTAGGCCCAGGAGCTGGAGGGAGGGCTGTGACTCCCTGTTTTGCACCTGCCCCTCCCTTTTAGCTCCCTCCCTGGTCTTTGAACCCATTGGCTTATCTCTGCCTGGTTGGCAATGCTGGGGGAGGGGCCGGCCCCTCCTGGAGCCCGTGGGTCCCCTTACCCCCTGGTGCTGCCGAGCACTGACCCTGAGCCCTGTGAGGGCCTCTGGGAGCCTAGACCTGAGGACTCTGTCCCCAGAGTCCTGTGTGCCCAGGGCAGGGCATCACACTGAGCACAGTGTCTTGGGCCTGAGGTCACCCCACCTACACAAGTGCTAGAAGGTGCCACAGCCGGACCACACAGCAGTCTGATGTCTCTGGGTCCTGAGAGGGAGCTGGGCCAGAGAAGGGGACAGGAACATCCTGCAGGGGCGTACAGGGCTCTTGGACCTCTGGGTCAACAAGTGGAGAAGCGGGGGGCGATTCGGACACAGTTCTGAGGACCGGGGGCCCAGAATGGCCGCTTTCCTACCCCACTGCCCTGGGGCCCCTGGGACGGTGGAGCAGGAGTCGGAGTCTGGCTGCCGCCTCCGGCCGTGCACCGGCCAGCCTGTGAGCTCTGGGCGAAGAGTGCAGACCAGCCGTGCAGCCCGGCCTTCCTGGGTCCCGGGGCCGAGTGGCAGAACTGGGGGAGCCCTTGAGAGGCAGGCATGTGGCTTGTCCCTCGCAGCCCCTCTGACCTCAGTAACCTTCGTGCTGGACCACGTTCCCTTGCTTCGTGCGGCTTTCCTGACGCATGGGAGAAGAATGACACACAAAGAAGTCAACTGTCAGAGAACGGGAGCAGGGGACGACAGCTGGACTGTGGCCCGGGAGCCGGGGAGGACACGGGAAGGATCATGGCCCAGGACAGCTCCTCCGTGCCGTATTTGTTAGATACAGGACAGCAACAAAGGAGAAGAAACGAAGCTGAAACTCCGGCCGAGGGTCCGGTGGTAAGCCGGAGGGAGCGGGAGTCCTGCTGGCCGCAAGCCTTGGAGGTGAAGGAGGTAAACGGGGGAGGAGTGGGGCGTGTCTGGCCCAGCGGCTATGATCTGTAGTGGCGCAAACGCACTTAAAGGGATTCCCTGAACAGAGGCATTCTCGGAGGCAGGGGAGACAATGAAAAAGGGAAGTGGGCGGCGTTCCCAGCCGTTGGGCTTCAAGGACGGACCACCCCCTCCACCGGAGGCCTGCTGCTGGTACAGGTTCTTCTCAAGGTCATCTTTAAGCTGCGTGACCAGTATAACTCCTCATCAGTTAAAGTTATAGTTTAAGCAGTGTATTATTCTGAGGGACGGTTACAGCGTTGTGTCCCCCCCATCTCTCCCAGCAGATACCTTCCTGCCCAGCCCAGAGCAGCCAGAGAGCACGTCACCGGCCCCCCTACACATCTGACAGCTGCCTGTGCCGCCCCGCACCGCCCCCCCACCGCCCCCGCATCGCCTCCACACCGTCCCCGCACCGTGCGCCGCACTGTCCCATCATCCAGCAAGCACACGGCGGCCACTGCTGTCCAAACACACCCTCATTCGCAGTGTTCACAACCCCAGCAACAGAATCATGGGGGTGCCCGCTGAAGGACGAATGTGGTCTGTGCTTGCAAGTGGGATATCATTCAGCCTTCAAAAGGAAGGACATTTCTGGGTGCCTGGCTGGCTCAGTTGGCAGAGCCTGTCACTCTTTTTTTTTTTTTTTTTTTTTAAGATTTTATTTACTTGACAGAGATCACAAGTAGGCAGAGAAGCAGGCAGAGAGGGAGAGAGGAGGAAGCAGGCTTACCGCTGAGCAGAGAGCCCGATGTGGGGCTCGATCCCAGGACCCTGAGATCATGACCCGAGCTGAAGGCACAGGCTTTAACCCACTGAGCCACCCAGGTGCCCCAGCACGTGTCACTCTTGATCTCAGGGTCATGAATTCAAGATCCACATTGGGGGCGCCTGGGTGGCTCAGTGGGTTAAGCAGCTGCCTTCTGCTCAGGTCATGATCTCAGGGTCCTGGGATCGAGCCCCACATCGGGCTCTCTGCTCAGCGGTAAGCCTGCTTCCCTCTCTCTCCCTCTCTGCCTGCCTCTCTGTCTACTTGTGATCTCTCTCTGTCAAATAAATAAATAATAAAAAAATCTTAAAAAAAAAAAAAGATCCACATTGGGCATGGCACTTAAAAAAAACGGTGGGGGAGGAGGGGAGGAAATTGTGACACATACACAACATTGAGAAATACACCAACCACAGAAAGACAAACCTGTGTGACCCGTTTGTGTGAGGTGCTCAGGGAGCCCGAGGGACTGGAAGAGGGACGGTGGCTGCGAGGGGCTGGGAGCCGGGGAATGGGGAGCTAGTGTTTGTTTTCTAGAGGCAGACTTTCCGTCCGGGAAGATGGAGAGAGCTCTGGGCTTCGATGAGACGGGACGCGTGGCAGTGTTACTGTACTTCACGCCACCGAGCTCTACAACGGTTCACACAGTTGGGCCCCTGGCAGGCTCCAGCGGAGGAGCCTGGATCTCAGGGTTTTGAGTTCAAGCTCTACGTTGGGTGTAGAGACACCCTAAAAATAAAATCTTCGGGGTGCCTGGGTGGCTCAGTGGGTTAAAGCCTCTGCCTTCGGCTCGGGTCATGATCAAGCCCCGCATCGGGCTCTCTGCTCGGCGGGGAGCCTGCTTTGCCCTCTCTCTTGTCTCTGCCTGTCTCTGCCTGCTTGTGATCTCTGTCAAATAAATAAAATCTTAAAAAAAATAAAAATAAAATCTTCAAAAAAGGTATTTAAAATGGCAAATTTTATGTTACATATTACTACAATTTTAAAAAAAAGGGCACCTGGGTGGCTCAGTGGGTTAAGCCTCTGCCTTCAGCTCAGGTCATGGTCTCAGGGTCCTGGGATCGAGGCCCAGTGGGAAGCCTGCTTCTCCTTCTCCTGCTCCCCTGCTTGTGCTTCCTCTCTTGCTGTGTCTCTTTCTGGCAAATAAAATCTTCGGGGGAAAAAAAAATAGACCAAAACAACCCTCCCCGCCCCTTCAGCTGCAGTTGGCAGCAGGAACTGCGGTTTCTAGGCCTGGTGGTCTCTGCCAGGCTCCCCTAAACCCTTGCCTCCTGGCCCCTAGTCTTGTCACGGTCCCCAAAGTTCCCCGAAGCTACACGGGCCAGACCCGAGTGGAGCTCCTCCTCCTCCTCCCGGCCCAGGACCCACTGGCTCCTCATTGCCTCTGGCCTCTCCGGGCTTCCTGGGCTGCAGATACCCTTTCTTCGGCTCCTTCGCCGGTCTCTTCCCAACCTGCGAGCGTGACAGTGCTGGTCCTTGGGCCTCTTGGATAAAATTCCTGGTTTTCTGCCCTGGAGATGCCAAGCCTTCGTCTTCCCTCCGGAACTCCCGCTTCCGATGTCCAGCCACCTGCTTGACAAGCCCCCCTGGCCAGCTGGCCCAGGTCTGAGTCGGCCTCTGCAAACCTCGTTGGCTGCCCTCTCACGAGAGCCTGTTCCCGCAGGTGTCCGCGTGTCGCCAGGACCCCCTCCAGCTGGCTGTTCCGGTGCTGGGCCGGGTTATTCCCTGCCCAGTGCATCCAGCCCATGGCAACACCGTGTGTGCAGCACACAGCAAAGTCCACACCCACAACCCCAGGGCCCCTCTTTGCCTGCTGTTGATCCTGCCCCCAACCCCACCAGTCGCCTCTCTACCGTCTTTGCCTTGTAAGACCCAAGGAATGTGCACGCCTCTGCTGGGAGGACCCTGCTGGCACCCGGGGCTCCAGGTACAATCCCAAGGCCTCCCCTGGCCTCCCCACTCTCCTTGCCTGCTCTGCTGTCCTGACTGTCCCATGTGGAACAGCAACCTCCACCCGCACCTCATCTCCATCTGAAACACTCCATGCGTCATTTTTTTTTTTTTTTTTAAAGATCGTATGTATTTATTTGACAGAGATCACAAGCAGGCAGAGAGGCAGGCAGAGAGAGAGGAGGAAGCAGGCTCCCTGTTGAGCAGAGAGCCCGATGTGGGGCTCGATCCCAGGACCCTGAGATCATGACCTGAGCCGAAAGCAGAGGCTTAACCCACTGAGCCACCCAGGCACCCCTCTACGCCTGATTGCAATGCCACAGACACCCAGAAACACTACTAGGAAAAGGAATACAATGAGCTCTGGAAGGTCCCTTAACCCATGCCAAGGTCTGGAGCCTTGGTCTTGTGGTCTGTGGCTGCCCGTCCATGGGGACGTGGGCTGACGCAGCGCTGCAGGTGAGGGCCGCCTGGGGAGCTGGTATGACGAGTGTAAGCGACCCAGCTTTGGCCTTTGAATGCCCACATCCTCACCGGCAGACTGCAGCTGCCCCCGGCCCGGGAAAGACAGGCCGAAGGGGTCCTGGGGTACCCACCACCCCAGCCTTGCTCCTGACGGAGGAACACCCTCTTTGGGGGTTAGGACAAACCGCCTCCCCCATCCTACCCCATCTGTTATCTACTGGGGCCCTGGTGACCCAGTAGGAGGACAAAGCCCTACGCTGGCCTGTGGTGTCTCCCAGGGTGGGGAGAGAGAGGAGGGGCAGCACAGCAGCCTCTGTCTGCAGCCAGCTGGGCCCCCAAGTGCCCAGAGCTCCCAGATAAAGGGGGGTATGCAGATGTGGCGGGCAACTTCCCATGTGGTCAGAGTCAAGCTGTACATGGCCCAGGTGAAGTCTTGCCTCTCTCCCGTTCGCAGAGTGCCCACTGGGGAGGCTGCAGGCCCTAACCTGGGGCTCAGAACCTGCCCTGACGAATGGGCTGTGTGTTCAGGGCCTACGTGCTCCAGTGAGACAGGATTCCACCCCGCGGCCCAGAGGGAACACACGCGGGCCGCGCAGACCCGGTTGGGGGAGAGCAGGTCACAGGAGCAGGGAGGTCAGAAAGTGTCTTTATTGTGGGGAGGGTGGGAGGAGATAGGGTTGAGACACCAGGGATGGGCACCCAGATGAAGCCACTCTGGGTGGCAGGACACCGGAGGACTATCCGGGCGACAGGCCCGTGGCGCGCAGCAGAGCCCTCCCGGGGACCCCGGGCCGGACAGCTCAGGCGTGCAGGAAGCGGTTGAAGGCGTTGTAGGCCGACTCCAGATCGAAGAGCATCTGGCGCACCTGGGAATCATCCAGCTCGTCGGAGGCCGACATGCCGCTCAGGGTCTGCAGCCTAGGGGAGCGCAGCGCTGAGGGCGTGCAGGGCCTTCGCGGTCCCCGACAGAGGACAGGGGTCAGGGCAGGGCTCCTCACCACTGGCTCACAGTCTGGCGGCCCTCGAAGTCCGGGGGCAGGTGACTCATGCGATGCATGGTCTCCATCAGCTCCCGCAGGTCAGGCTGGATCTGTGGACGGGATGGCGGGCTTCCTGCACTGGGAAGTGCACCCACCGCCACGCCACCCATGTCCCCCGGTCCCCGCCGGGGGCCCCACCTCGTCCATGGCACGGATCTCCAGGCGCAGCTTGTCCATCACTGTGATGAAGAGCTGGGGACAAGTACGAGAGTGTGGGCCTGAGGGCCGAGGGTGGGGGACCATCTGCAGGCGCAGGCTGGCCCCCACCCAGCCCCTCTCGGGCCTCGAGAAGCCCCTGGCTCCCTCCTCGACGCTCTGGTTACTTGGGTCCCTGCTGCACCCGTTCCCACAGCCTGTGAGGTCCTCCACGTGCCACCTGGCCCACCTGCTGCTGTCCATGGCCCTGCTCTGGCTGTGCCCCTCAGGGCGGTGGGTGCATGGGAGCCCCGGCCGGGCTGACCCTGGGTGCGTACAGGGAGGAAGACCTTCCACCCCTTTTGTTCCGAGCTATGGAGAGCCCTGCCCGAGGGGTGTGAGCGCTCTGCAGCTCTAGGAGCCCTGGGCTTCTGTGACCACGTGTGGCCGCAGTGGGCGGCAGGGGCCCCCCTGACCACCCTGCAGCCCCCGCAGGCTGAGGCCGCACCGAGACCACGTCGGCGATGCAGCGGTTCAAGTTGCCTTTGTCGTCCTTAATGGTGATGGGTCGGTCCTCCCTGATCCTCTCCATGGCGAGCGGGCAGTCCAGCTGAAGAGCAGAGCTGCCGTGGGCACTGGGGCTCCCAGGCCTGGCGCCCTCCCAACAGCTCCCCTCCCCACCCCTGCTCCCTCGACCTGCTCACTCACGCGGAACTTGCGGCAGAATTCATCAATAGAGCTGATTTCTGTGCCCTGAACCTGCCGGAAGGCGGCTTTGTACTGGACCAGGAGCCGGGAACACGCGGCGGTGTATCTAGGGAGAGGGCCAGGCTACTGCCCTCAGCACCAGGCCGGCCCAGCCCAGCAGTCCTGCTCACCCTCGGCCCATCCAGACACGGGACAGCTCTCCTGGAGGGCTGAGTGGCAGAGCAGAGACGGGCCACCGAAGGCTGCGGCTTCCCTAGAGATCTAGACAAGAGCGCTGGGGAGGAGAGGAAGCAGAAAGGAGGGGGCGGCCCCCACGGCCCCCACACTGAAGTGAAACCATATGAAGCCCCAGCCCCGGCCTCAGTGCCCTGTTCTTGCTTCCCGCTGAACACCCGGGCCCCGGGCAGAACAAGCCTCCCACGACCGGTGCTCAGGACTGGCGCGAGGACAGAGGCTCACTCGTTGGGGGTGACGCAGTCCTTGATGTATGCCTTCTCCAGGGCCTGCACCGTCTTCACTACGGCAAACAGCTCGGCCATGTTGTCATACCTGAGGGCAGCGTGTCCAACAGCCATGGCTGCAAAGCCCCGGGCGCCCACCGTTGCCGGGGTGAGGCTGTACTTGGGCACACCTGGCAGAGGCTCCTTGAGGACTATCCGCAGCCTGACCCCATGTCCTCCTGACCTCAGTGCAGGGGTGGTTTGGAGGCTGGGGGGCACGGTGTGCGTGCGGTGGGGGGCGGGGGGCATAGTGTGCATGTGGTGGGGGCTGGACTCACTTCTCCCGCTCCCGGGCATTCTTGTACAGCTTCACTTCCTGTCGGCGAGAGGAGGCAGCGTGTCAGCCAGCAGGACCGTGTGGCTGCAGGGTCGCGGTGGGGCTCACACAGGGTCTGCTCTTGGCCGGTGCTGGCCAGGCGGGTGTCCGCTGCTCACCTCGTAGAGTTCCGGCTTGTTTCCAGGCGCTGCAACAGAGCAGAGAGTAGGCTGACCACAACGGTGACCCCAGGGGGCTTGTCCACTGGCCCTGGCCCCAGCCCCATTCCAGTGGCCCACACAAGGGCTCACCCCATGAAAGGTCCCGAGGAGCCCAGAGGGAGCCGAGAGTGGGACTCTAATTTCCGCACGCCCCGTCTGTGGGCAGGGAGCTCCGAGGAGAACACGATCCCCTGCGGTTGGGAGGCCACATGTCAGGCCTGCACCCCCACCCCGCTGCTCCTCAGCTACCTCACGCTGAAGCAAGACGACCACAGCTTGCTTATGGTACAGTGAAAGGACACATATGACAGCTGTCACATGCTTTGTGACCTTTCCCCTGGCTTGACTCCAGGATGTCCCCCCCCACCACCCCGAGGTTCCTAGTGCAGTGAAGTCGTTATCTCTGTGCCCAGCTGGCCCCACCTGGAGGTCTTCTCTGGTGCCCCTGGGGATGAACGGCACCAGACCCCAGCCGCCCACTGAGGCTGCACGGGGGAGACACGTACAGACTCCCCACGACCCCTGGCCTCTGCAGCAGGGGTGAAAGCTTGGCCCTTTGGGTCCCTGGGCCCACCTCGGGCCCCACTCACCTCCGATGCCCGGAGCGGCGGGGATCCCGTGAAACATCCTGGGGGCTCCGGGGGCCACAGCAAAGACCTAAGGGGTGCAGCAGCGCCAACTCGAAGGTGACCTCCAACACTCCTGGGCCTCGTGAAGACTCTCCCAGCCCACAGCAGTCAGATGGGAAACACGGGACACAGGAAACTGCAAAGTCCCATGAAGAACTGCTTTTTTGCTCTTTTTCTCGGTCTTCCCTTGCTAGGCTCTGCACCCCCAACCGCACGTGCCAATAACGTCTGTCCTCACGGGTCAAGGTCAAAGAGTTAATGATTTCTTTGTGGTCTCCCAGCGTAGTAGATAACTTCCAAGGAGTGACTGGGCGAGGCTGTCCCGTGCCCATTCCATCCACAGACTCTAGACGCTGTGACGCCAGGACCCCCTGGTTCCAGGGACTAACCGATTTATGGAGGACACCTAGACACTTACCTTTGTTCTGGGCAGTTCCTGGATACCGGAGAGGATGTATACACCAGACCCCAGTCCTCAGTAAAAACCTCAGACCCCAAGCAGAGGAGAGACTCACTCTTCTCTCCTTTCTGAGTTTCCCAAAGGCTCCATACAGCCTCTCATTTACACACTCAGTAAACTGCTCTCACTTCCTCCTGGCTCGTGTCTGGTTCTGCGTCCTATGTGAAGGCAAGGACCCTTCTGGCGGGTCCTGCAGGAACCCCTGGGCCCTCAGACCTGGCTGGCCAACGTCACAGTGATGAACATACAGGGCACCACCCGCTGTGGTGGGAGCACCTGCTCTGCCTGAGAGGCTGTCAGGACGAAGCAGGTGCAAAAGCACATCTCAGGACAGCAGGGCAGTGGCGGCAGGGGTCAGGGCTCCCTGATGGCTACCGGGAGCCAGGGGAAAGATGAGAAGGCGGCAGCTACCAGAAGACCTGGGAAGGAGCCCTTGGGCAGAGAGAACAGCACACGTAACTCGAGGCCTTTACAAAGAAACACAGGTAGAGGAACAGACCCGTGGGGAAGATGGAGAGATGGGATGAAAGCGCACAGCCCCGCAGGTCAAGAGAGGGTGTGTGAGGTTCACACCAACGTGGCAGAAGCTACCGATAGGCTGAAGACAAGCTCTCGAGGCTCCCAGCCACGCAGTGGACCCAGAAAGAGAAGGCAGGAGGCCCCTGGGAGGGTCCCGCCCACTCAGGAAGCTGATGCAGGGGCTGGAGCCAGTTTGACATGCGCTGGACACGAACCCACCAGGCCCACTGAAGTATCTGAAAGGGGATGTTAGTTAAAAAGGAATCAAGAGGGGCGCCTGGGTGGCTCAGTGGGTTAAGCCGCTGCCTTCGGCTTGGGTCATGATCTCAGAGTCCTGGGATGGAGCCCCGCATCGGGCTCTCTGCTCAGCGGGGAGCCTGCTTCCTCCTCTCTCTCTGCCTGCCTTTCTGTCTACTTGTGATCTCTCTGTCAAATAAATAAATAAAATCTTTAAAAAAAAAAAAAAAAAACGAATCAAGAACGATACCCCTGTGCCTGGCCCGACCACCGTAGGATGCCCCTACTGCCCACTCCTGGGCGCTGGAGAAGCGGGAAGAGGAAGCGGCCGCAGCAAAGCGCCCGCCAGGGTGGGTGTGTGGAGGCAGCCAAAGTCAGAGAGGCCCAGGCCAGCCGGGCTGAGCCGGGACACTGGGGCTGGGCGGGTCACACGCGGGGCGACCAACAGGGAACGGAGAGAGCAAGCAGCGCGGCTCGCGCCCCGCGGTGGCCGGGAACGGAGGCTGGGAGGAGGCGGAGCGCTGCAGCCAAGGAGCGCGCGTGCGAGGGAGGGTGTCGTCTGGGAACGCGGATGAGGGACAAGAGCCCCCTGGACGGCGGCAGGGAGACTGTCCAGCCGTCGTCCCGGGAACTCGGGAGGACCCGGCCGCCAAGAGCGGGGGCGCGCAGCGAGCGCCCGCAGTTCCACGGGGGACTCCACTCGGGCGCGGAAACCGTGCGGCCCGAGGACCCGAGAAGCGAGTTTCCCCACGATGCCCACGCCTGGTCTCGAAGCTACCGCCTGGGCAGCTACCGGGTCCGCGCGAGCAAGGAGGCGCCCCGAGCGCGGAGCCCCCCGGGAGCCCGGCCTGCGCGCGGGGCCCGGCGCGGCTCAGGACCGGGACGCGGCAGTCACCCCGGACGACTGCGGAGGGGCCCTCCGCGGTGTGACGGCGCCCGCGACCCTTTCCCCGCCCCACGCCCCCCACCAGCCCGGTACCTGGGCGGACTCGGCCGGTCGGGGACACGGCGCCGCGGTGTGCGCCCCGGATCGACAGCTCGGCGCTCCCTTGTACGTCTGCGCCTGCGCACGCCTCTCCCCCAATCGACGATCGCCCGACGAGCGCGCATGCGCGCGTCGCAACCGGGTGGGCCCCGCCCCCTGCGGCGCGCGAGGCGGGAAGAGGCTCGCGCAGGGGAAGGCGTCGGCTTCGTGCCCCCCGACCTCCGAGTGACCGGAGCTGCCCTCCCGTCCCCGCCGCAAAACGAACCCCGCTTTCCGTCTCCCACCCGCCTTTCAGGCAGCAACAGGGGCAGCAGCAGCATCCGTTTATTTGAGGCGTTGGGGGGGAGGGGGCCGGGCAGCGCCTCCGGGGTCACAGGCGCCTGAAGAAGAGCTTGGACCCTCGGTCCAGTGTGCATGCGCCAGGGCCCGGCCGGCCGGGCAGCAGCTGGCGCAGGGCGGCCCGGTCGTCGGGGGAGAGGCGGCGGCTGCACAGCTCCAGCTCCTGCACCTGTGCGGTGATCTCGCGCCAGAGGCCCAGGCGCAGGGGGCCCTGGACAGCACAGCCTGCAGAGGGGAGGCAGGAGCGGGTCTCAGGGAGCTGGAAGCCTCTGCGACTCCCGCGCCCATGTTCTCTTCTCTGTACCCGGGCGGCCCCCCCGGAAGAAACGCACTTCCTCTGAGGCCACGAGGGCCACAGCACAGTGCATGGGCAGAAGCCCAGGCGAGGCCCAGAAACACTCTAGGAAGGGGTTCGTGGGCCCTTGTCAGAGCCGGGGGTCGCGGAGGACGGTCCCTGGCTCAAACACACGGGCAGTCACATGCATGCCGCTTTCTAGGACAATGCCTGGGTCTCCGTCCATAAATGGGCACGATAGCGGTGCCCGTGGGTCTCTAGAGGTCACTGAGCTGTCAAGATCTGAGCTCCAGGGAGCCCAGAGTGCCCAGTGGGCTCAGGACCCTAGGGAGCTAGGGGAGAGGATGGGTGCAGATGCTGGTGTGCAGGGAGCAGCCCCTCAGCCGTGTGCAGTGGGGGGTGAGGAGCAGGAAGAAGCCAGGGGTTCCCTGTGTGGATACCCACTCCCGGTCCCTGTCCTCCTGGAGGGCAAAGCCTGTACTCTCCCGCCCCAGGCCCTAGCTGGATGTTCAGGCTATCAGGAGGGCAGTTCACCAATCAAGTATCTCCTGGCATCATCTTCAAGCCAGCTCGGTAGGGCACTGTGCCTGGGCGTGGCCAGAATGAGAACAAGCTAGGACACCACAGGCTGGGAAGGTTAGGGTCCCAGCAGCCCCTGCCAGGAAGTGGGAAGGTCCCTTGGTGGCAAGTTTTTGCCATCCTGACCTAGCGCTCCTTCCTTGCCAAGGTAGTTAGGAAATCCTCTTGGAAGGGGTCCAGTCCTCCAGCCACCATGGTCTCTGAGGGTCAGGCTGAGCGGGTTAAAACCAGAGATCCCATGTTCCTCCTGCCCCACTGTTTTAGGAGCTGAGCTCACACCCCTTTTGAGTCACATGGGTCACTGTCCCCCACTGTGTCAATCTCAGGGGACCCAGCCCCCTCTTGCCATCTGGTAGGTTCCCAAGCTCACCTGACAGGCCAAGGAAGCTGAGGCCTTGGGGCCGCATCTGGAGTGCAGAGAGGAGCTCCTCCAGACCCACACAGCTGACGTCAGGGTTGGCAGACAGGTCCAGTGACATGAGTGAGGGGCAACAAGGAAGGCACCTGCAGTAACGGGAGGGAGGGAGCCCCCAGCGCCGGGGAAAGCTGCCCCAGACAAACCGCAGCTCTGGGAGCCACAGGCTCTCCCCCTGGAGACACAGGTGCAAGTACTTCCCCCACGCTAGCTGGACAACGCCAAGGCCCGGGCATGGGGATGCCTGCCTGGCTCGAGGGCCCAGCACTCCCAAGAGCCAGTTGAAGCTGGAGGGTCAGGAGTTGCCCTTGCATGGGTTGTTGCACAAAGGGTGATGGGAAGGCTCTCCAGAGCCTCAGGGGCGTGGGAAGGACAGGAGGCAGGGCTGAAGCGGGAAGGAGCTGGGTCCTGGGAAACACTTGGGGGAGAGCTGGTACCCTTTCCTTGCCTGACCCAGCTCCCCCAGGGTTTGGGCTTGAGATCAGACCCTATTACCTGCTCAGGTCTCTCACTGCCTTGTCGCCCAGATGGTTTGCAGACAGGCTCAGGTGAGCTAGAGTGCAGCCTTCCTAGACAGAGCAGAGGCCCGAAGGGGGCTAGGCTGAGTGGGGTGCCTGCCCTCCCTGTTTCCCAGTAGAAGCCCCACACCTTCCTTCATCCTTGGGAACAAGGGGGCAAAGTCTGCCTGACCCCCCCATGCATCAGAGGGGACCAGTATCCCTCCAATTTGCAGATCACAAGGAAACGCCTCCCCTTCCAGGTGTAAGTCACACTTGAAAATCACAGGGACCAGACCCACAGGGAGGAGCCAGGGGAGAGAAGCCTGGCAAGGCGTTGGGACCTGCCTGGGGCAAGGAGGCTGCCCTGGGTCCCGGGCACCTTCGCCGGCCAGGAATTCAAAGCCTGAGGCAGGCAGCTAGCTCTCCAGAAAGGTTCTCCCACAGCTTTTCTTTCTGAAGGCACCACGCCCTTCCCAGGCCACTCCCACCCCTGGCCGGTGTCTGCTATGGGACTGCAGGTGGATGGGACAGGGCTGTTTGCTTCAGCAAACCCCCTCAACCAGACATACCTTGGCCAGGTATCTGACCACAGGCTCCACGAGGCCCGAGTCACTCTTGCCAGCTGCCACAGAGTTCAGCTCCAGGCGCCGGAGGGTCCGGGCAGGCAGGTTCTGCAGGGCGTGGGCCAGGGCGTCAGGACCCAGGATGTTGTAGGACAGAGACAGTGTCTTCAGGTGCTTGGCATCTGCATAGGGGACCAGACCCTTTGTCAGCCACACACGACTGCTACCCCAGCTCAGCTGCAGTCCCAGGCCCAGCATCTTCACGACCCCCAGATGAAACCATCATCCCTGAGATTTCGGTGCACTCAGAACTGGAGTAGCTTCTGCCCAGGGTGTCCCAGGCAAGGAGAGACGGGGCCACTCCTCAGCCCATCTTCTCCCCGACATCCCTGGGCCACCTGCCTCCCCGTACCTGAGACAAGATGGGCAACCCAAGACAAGCCCTGGGCCTGGAGGTCTGTGCGCGATCAGGTGGGCGCTGGGAACGCCATCTGCTGCCCAACCCCGCTTCTCCTCTGCTGCTGTGCTCATGTCCCTGAGCCCTGAGCCCTACCAGTTCCCAGTTTCTCTGTACTGGGGCTCTCTGCAGCCTCAGTGTGTCTACAAGAACACTCAGGGCTGGCGAGAACAGCAGGACTATGACGGTGGCCCAGGGCATATCCTAGGGGAATGCCCAAGCCCAGGCAGGCCCAGCACATCCAGCGATATGCTCCTAGACAGCAGGCCCTCCGGCTCAAGGCCCTCTGTGGCCCTGGACGTGCTCTTCTGATGACAACCGGAACCCGGGGACGTGGACATGCCTGTCAGCTTACCTTGGAAGGCACTACCTAGGGCTGCCTGGTGGCTCAGGAAAAAGCTGGGGCCAAAGCCACAGGCCTGGAGATGCAAGGTACTGAGTGAGGGGCAGCCCTGCAGGATGGATGCCAGGGCCCGGCCACAGCCATCCCCGAGGGGGTTCATGCTTAAGTCCAGCTCCTGCAAGTTCTGTGGAAGACACGGGCCCCTCTGGAGGATCTGATCTCCTTGGCGTCCCCGAGCAGGCCAGTGGCCAGCTCTCTCCCAAGTGCACCTTTCCACCCGATGATAGGCCAAATGCCAGCCCTAGTGCCAACCCGCTGCTCCCCACGCCTCTACCTGCAAGGTGGTCTGCCCCTGGAGGCCTGCGGCAAGGTGGCGCAGGCCTTCGGAGCCCAGGTGATTGGAGGAGAGATCCAGGAGCATCAGGCTGGGCATGGTGCCCAGGGCGGCCAGCAGCTCAGCGGCACATCCGTCCCCCAGCCGGTTCCCTGCCAGGTGCAGCTCCCGGAGCGCCGTGTGAAGCTTGAGGGCCCGCAGCAGCGGGGTGAGCTGGGTCTGACGCAGGGCCAGAGAGCCCACGCTGAAGGAGGGGCTGGAGCCCTGGCGGTCCATGGCCTGCAGCACCTGCGGGTGCTCCTCTGGGTGGGTGGGTGGGGGTGTCACTAGCGCCAGAATCTGCTGCTCTGCCCTGTGAGTCCTGGGGACCCCACCAAACATCCCTCCGACTTGTGAGCCCTGGGACACCCACCGAAGGGACCACAGAGGCCACTCCCACTGCCTGGAGACCCAGCATTGCAGGAGACCCAATGCGTGGTCTGTGGGTGCCACTGACCCCTCTCTGCCCTCTCACGCCCTCCTGGGCAGGGCCCTAACCTCTGCCAGGCACCCTCACATCTCACAGCGCCCAAGCCAGGCTTCCTTGGAAAGCTGCCCTAGGCCTAGCCTCCAGCGGCTCTGCTGACTCTACACCATGCACCGCCAGCAGGACCAACCTTCCCCCTCCTGCTACCCACAGTATGGGCACTGGGTAGAGAAGGAGGGAGTGTGCCTCGCTGGCTAGCCATCTGGGGCTTGGATGATAGGCCCCAGACCTGAGAGGGGCACAGGGATGTGCCCATCCGCCCAGGCCACCTCGAGCTCTCTTGGGCCCTTACCTTGTTCCAGGCTCCGGCAGGCCCTGCGGTAGCGGTCAGTCAGTGGGGGGAGGTCCCACGAAGTGACTTCCGCCAACACCTGCAGAGACCTAGCAGTAAGCAGCCAGAGGGGCTCCCAGGGCCGGGGCACGCTCCGCGTGGGGCCCAGGCCCCTACCACTCACCTCCTCGTTGCTCTGTAGCACATCAGGTATGGGGTCCTGCGGGGCCAGCAAGGCTCCCTCCTTCCTCAAGACGAGCCTTGGCAGCAGCCCACAAGCCTGGCAGTAGCGCTGGGCAGCCTGTTCGGTTAGCCAGGCCACAGAGTGGGTCTCCCCGCTGCTGGCACAGAGGGAAAGCAGAGCTGGCTGGGACACTGGGCACACTGAAGAAGGCCCCCACAGTCCTGCTGTCCCCGCTCTGGGTCTATGGTTCCTTCATCTGGTGTCCGCCCTCCTCCTGGCCCTGCTCAGGACATGCCCGCGCCCCCAGCAGCCTGACACACTTCCAGCTCTTCCAGGCTTTCCCTAGGGGCCACAGGGCTTGAGCCAACCCCTCCAGGGCCCTGCCTGTGCATATGCAAGTCCCCCTGGCCCTGGTCTGCCACCTCTCCCCAGCCACAGCAGCGGTGACACACCCAGTCTGAGAGAGCCCGCACTCCCCGCGCCATCCGATATGCAAACACAAGGGTTCTCCCAGGAGCACAAGGGGAACAGGGACTTGGAGGGCAGGTACTGCTCACCCATGTGGGACGGGAATGAGGAAGAGACTGTCCTGCACTCGCACTCGCACGCGGATGGGAGGGGGCAAAGATGGACCCTGGTGAGTGGGGACATGGTGGGGGGGGGCGGCAACAGGCTGAGTCAGAAAATAGTCATCCACCCTCACCACCCACGCTTCCCCCTGAGGTGTGCACCCACCGGGGCCTGGCCTGCCGCTGGGCTGTCCCTACAGGGCCCTGAGGCTCTGGAGAGGTCAGGGCTCCGTGGAGGCTCTGCCGCTGGGCTGCCGTCTCCCCCTGCCCGGCCCGCTGCGTTCCAACTCCTGAGACGGGGCAGCCGGCTCTGCCTGGCCCGGGCCCGGAGCCCGTTGGGGCTCTTACTGCGGCCCGAGCCCGAGCCACGGGGACCGGGGCTGTTTGCACTGCCCTGGGGGTGAGGCCGAGAGCCATCCTGGCAGCTGCGGGTCAACGGGGAGTCGTCCTCCAGCCAGTCCCCGGCCAGACACTCCTCCTCCGGGATGAGAGCCGCCCGGGGCGTGGTGGGCTCACCTGGGCCCCGCAGTAGGCTGGGCCCAGGGCGGCAGATCTGGGCACCAGCCACACCTCGGATGGCTGCCCGGGCAGCACTCGCTGCCTCTGCCTCCCTGCCGCTGGGGTAGCCAGGCGCCCCGGCTCTGGCCTGCTGTACGGGCACACGATGCCGGGGCCTCTTGTGGACGGGCCGGCAGGGGCCCGGGGAGTCCTCGCCCTCCGAGCTGCTGCTGCTGGCCAGCTTGGGCCTGCTCCTCCGAGGCCTGGCCATGGCTGGAACTGCGTGCCCTGGGGAGACCCCGGCATGGGCCTGAGAGGGCTCTGAGGGTCCCGGGCCGGGGCTCGAGGGAGGAGAGAGCTCAGGGTCGAACAGATGGTTCCGTGGAGGGGTGTGGGGGGCCGCGGAGCTGTGGGGAGCTGTGGAGAGACAGAGCGTAGCATGACGCTGCGCCCAATCCCGGCCACCCAGGCTGGAATGTCTGAGAAGCAGGGGCTAGGGGACTCGCAGGCTGGGGATGGCTGTCCCCAGGGGCACAAGAGGCCTCTACTTGCCTTGGCCTGAGGAGGCCACTCGGAGCAGCCGCTCCATGGCAGCGGCCTTCTCTCGGGTCTCGCTGTCCAGATCCTTGCCATACAGCTTCAGCCACTGCTGCAGCGTCTCCCGTGGGCTGTGCCCCTGCGTGGCCGCCAGCTGAGCAGGTCGGCAGGAGCAACCCCCCATAGCCTGAGCCCACCCGGACCACAGCTCCCCCACTGCAGCCTGAGCCCGCCTGGCCCGTGCTCCCCTCCACTCACCTTTGCGGTTCGGAGCGTGACAGACGCTCCCCGTTCGATGAGGAGTTGGGCCACCTCAAAGTGACCGCAGTGGAGGGCGTCATGAAGGGGAGTGATGCCCTCACAGCCTGGGCCGCCCGGGTCATCAACCTGAGCCCCGTGGTCCAGCAGGAAGCGCACGATATCTGTGGGCCAAGGGACACGAGCTAGCTCCCAGCCCTGGTCAGCCCCCTCCCTAGGATGTCCTGGCCCCGTACTCACCCACATGCCCATAGTTGCAGGCCTCGTGCAGGGGCGTCCAGCCACAGTAGTCCCGAGGGTTCAGAGGGTGGCCCTGTGACCGAGGACGAGAAGTCCAGCCTTGCCATAGGGCCCTGAGGCTCCAGGAGGGCCAGGCCTAGGTCTGGGTCTCAGAGCCCAGAACGGGCCCCACGCCAGCCCTGGCCCAGGTCCCAGCAGAGAGCTGGTCTGCATATAAGACACAGCATCTCAGGGAGTCCCCTGTAGGGGCTTGTGCAGGGCTGGTGCTCCCTCCAGCCCCCCTGCCCTGTGCCACCCCCTTTGCGGGGAGGGGGTACCATATACCCCAGGGCAAACTCCCCACTATGGCCCACAGGGCACCTAAATGAGACGGCAGGCCCACCTGTCTTACGAGGTCCTGGACACGACCCAGACGGCCCTCGATGCAAGCGCGGTGCAGCAGGGTCTCCCCAACATCATTGCGCCGGTTCCACTGCGGAGCGCCGTGCCAGGACAAGGAGCAGAGGTGTGAGGGGACCAGGCAGCGCTGGCAAGCATGGGGGGCCACACGCCACCCCCACACCATCCTCACCTTGTTCACTCTCGGCTGGCCCAAGCGACCCTGCAACTCCTCATCCTCCTCTAGCCGCTGGGACCCGCCCTCGGAATCACCCTCTGGAACACAGCCGAGACCACTCCACATAGGCCAAGCCCCAGAGCCCTCTGCCTTTCCAGGCCTGGAGGATGGAGGTCCGGTGCCCACAGCCACCCCACTGCCAGCCCTGCCTGTGGCTGTGCCCACCCACTGCACTCCTGCCCACAGGGGTGCCCATCCCCCACGTGCTGACCTCTCACCCCGCGCTCAGGCCCTGCTCTGGATTGTCCCAGCCCACAGGCCTATCCCTGTCCTGGGAAGCAGCTTTGTCAGCTGAAGTCAGGTTCACGTTAGGAATACCGTGTCGCATGAGCCCAGGTGCCTTCCACCTCCACCTGTCCCTACCCAGCCTTCCCACCTGTACCTGCCTCCAGCTCACACTGCCTGACCCCACTCCTCCTGTGCTTCTGGTCCTCGTAAGGACCTTCTTCTCCTTCACGGACCCCTGAGTGGCATCGCTTGAAGTTCCTGCTTTGGTCCTCTGACTCCTGTGGCTCCCTACACCTGCACGGCAGTGACACCCAGCCTAACCGGCTTCTAAAGCATGGCACAACCTTCCCACAACCCCTGGCTTCTCGCTGAGAGGTTCTGGAAGCCACTCAGGTTCAAAACTGAAATGATTCCTCCTGGCCTGAGGGACAGGTCTCCAGCCCCTCCTCTCAGCCAGAAGCCAGGGGCCTGCTGGCTCCCACCGCCTGGGCTCCCAGCCCCAGCCCGCTCCAGGCTGCCCTCGAAGCCGCCTTCCACAGGACAGCCCATGCCAGCCTGGGCATGGCAGCCCACGTGTTGTCTCTAGCCCCGTCTTGCCTGCTCGGTGCCCCCATCTCATGGTGCCATTTCTCCAGGTCTGACCCTGCATGTCCCCCCCTCGCAGATGCCCACTAGCCTTCTCATCACCTGCCCCTCCAGGAGCCACTCCAGTCTCTCTGCACACAGCCCTCTTCCGTCTACCAGCGCTGAACACCTCTTCCACACGGGGCTGAACCCTCCTGTCCCCAGCCGGTGAGCAGCCCTGAGGGCATCAGGGAGGAGAGGCCTGGGTGGCTGGCTCAGCTGCCCCGGGCCTCACCGCTTTCTGAGAGCTCCACGTCACTGGGCTCAGGAGTGGCCTCGTCCTCCTCTTCCTCTTCCTCGTCGTCCTCCTCCTGCTCTCTGGGCGAGCTCAGCTCCTGCAGGCTGGCCGCGGTGGCCGGGGCCTCCTGGGGCCGCAGCCTCAGCTGCACGGCATGGAGGTGCTGTAAGATCTGCCTCTGAAGGGCAGGGGACACCCGGCTCAGGGCCACAGGGCCACCAGACCCCCACAGCAGGGGAAGGGGGGTGCAGAGCAAGGGCAGGAGGGCTGCGGGGACACCGTGCTTGGGGGTCATCGCTTTGTACCTGGAGCTGGGGCTGCTGGGCCTGCTGGGCGCAGCTGAGAGCCTTCTGGAAGCATGGGGCCAGCCGCTCGTAGGCGTCTCCAGCCTCCTCCCGGGACAGTGCGATGTTTAACCAGGTCTGGGCCTCCTGGAGCAGGAGGAAGGATGAACTTGGTGGCTGCCACCCCACTGAACCGGCCCCAGCCAGCGCTCTAGCTCCCCACCACTGCACACATGGAACAGCCCCGGAAAGAGAATGCTTGTCCTGCCCAGCACTCGAGGGTGGCAGTGCTAAGGCAGAACTGTGGGGGCCGACTCGGAGCCCCCTGCAGCCTGGGCCGGGTGCCATCACCGCTCACCTCCAGAGCGTCACCACCACGCAGCCTCAGCTCCTGCTCATAGTGGGACACGGCCCGGTGGTGGTCCTTCATGTCTCCCAAGGTGGCGGCCAGGGACACGTGGATGACGGCCAGCTCGGGCCCTGGCCGGCCCAGCAGCTCTGCGAGGTGCAGCTACAGAGACAGCAACAGCGAGGCCAGGCCTGCCTGGCACGTGCCAGCCTGGGCCGTCAGCACCCCCTTCCTCCCGCCTCAGCAGGGGAGGCACACCTGCTTCTGGTAGGCCTCAGCCGCCTTGGGGAAGTCGCCCGCCTTGGAGAACAGGTCCCCCAGCTGCTCACAGATGCCCATGGCGCCCTGGGGGTCGCTGCTCTCAGCCTCCCGCAACCTCTGCTGCAGCCGCACCACGGCCAACACTGCAGGCAAGAGCTCCACGTGACGGGAGGCACAGTGCGCCTCTGCCCGGACGGCCCCTTGTCAGCTGTGTGCCCGCCGGGGGGCACCCACTCCATGCCCCTGCTCTCCCCTCAGTAACGGGGGGGGTGGCAAGAGAACGTACCCCATGGGGTCGTGGGGATCAGAAAAAGGAATCAATGACTCAGAGCAGCCCCTGGCCTGCAAGGGGAGCCCCTCCTGCCGCCTCTCGGTCCTCACAGGCCCCAGGCTCCATCCACCTTCCCGGTGCAGATGTTGCTCAGGTATAAACGCCTGGTCAGGCTCCCAACCACCTCAGTCCCCCTCTGACACACTGTGCTGAAGGCTGACAGAAAAGTGGAGCTCTCTTCCCAACAAGGGGGAGCAGGGAAAGTCTCCACACTGGAGCTGCCAGCTCCCCACCCCTTCTGGGGGACTTCAGGTCCCCGGGCTCACCGTGTTTGAGGGTCCGGCAGACGGCCGCCTTCTGCAAAGGCGTCTGGAAGCCCAGCCTGTAGGCTTTCTTCAGGGCTCTCTTGGCAGCCAGAAAATCCCCCAGGTCTTGGAGGATCTGGGAAGGCGAAGGAAGGTGAGGCTTGCAGACTCCCCAGAGCCCGAGGCCCTCTGCAGGCTAAGCCAGAGCTGGAGGGCGGGCACCTGTGAGATGAGCACGCAGCACTCGCTCTCCATCTGTCCCCTCCTCAAGACGCGGGCGCACTCTCGCGCCCCCTCCAGGCAGCGCATGGCCCGGGAGTGGTGCCCTCGGCGCCAGTGGACGGCTCCCAGGTTGTAGCGGGCACGGAACAGGTCCTCGTGGAGGTGGTTCTGCCTGCGGGTGGTGACAGGTGCTCAGAGCGCCACAGGGATGGCGCAGAGGGCACCACACGGTGCCAAGGTGCGGGCGCCCAGCCTGCTCCTCCCCAGCACGCGCCGCGGTGGAGGGGCGCGCTCTCACAAGGCTCCTTCCTCTGGGCACAGGGGCCTTACTCAGCCAGGAAGATGCTCTTCCGGAAGTAGTCGTCACAGGGGGCCGCCTGCTGCAGGCTTTCGAAAGTGAGCCCCAAGTTCAGGTAGAGTCGGGTCCTCATCTCACTCAATTCTCGCTTGTCCAACGTCCCTGGAAGGTGCCCCCCCATTCGCACACTCAAGGGCTCACGCCCACGTGAGCTCTGGGACTGTACAGTCTCTCCTCCACCGGTCTCACAGTGCGGGGGGCCAGGGGTCCTGCCACAGACGGGGCACAGGACAGAGCAGAGAGTGACTAGACCAGAGGCTGTGAGGAGCATGGGCCATGTGTCTCCTCCCGGGAGGCTTTACAGACAGATCTCAGCCTGGCAAAGGGAGGGGCCAGACTGGCAGAACCTGCCATATGGGGCAGGCTGTGGGGCCCCCCAGCAGCTCTAGAGTCAGAGAGGGGGAGCTGGGTCTCCAGGACCACTCACCCTGCAGCTTCTCGTCCACAATAGCCAAGCTCTTCTCAAAGGCAGTCTGTGCCTGCACCAAGGTATCCTGTGACTGGCAATGGTCATAGATGTCCAGGTGGGTGCGGCCAATGGTGGCCCAGGCCCTCTGCACCTCAGTGTGATTAGACAGAGAACGGGCCAGCTCCAAATGGCGATGCTGGTGCTACGGCGCAAAGGAATGGCCGTTGTGGGCCAACCCCCACCTCAGGCAAATCTCCTATGTACCCCAAACCCAGGAGGTCTCTACCTTTGCCCAGGAGAGTCCCCTACTCCCCCAAGACCCCACAGAGCAGGCCAAAGCCAGGCTACACATGTCCCATCTCTTCTATGCCAAGGGCTGCCTGTGGGGACGGTGGAGCCACACTCCGCCCAGCCAATGTCGTCATGAGGAAGACACGAGTGGGAGTCAGCTAGGCGCTGCAGCCGCACTCCCAGTACCAGAGCAGGCCCTTTGCGGACAGTAACAGCTGAAGTGTTACGTTCGTGAATGGTTGCGGGGAGCAGGCTCCTAGGACAGGCTATGATGTGCCTGCCCCAGGACCAGCCTACAGCCCCCTGGCGCGGGGCTGTCCGAAGAACAGGCCGTGTCCATGCGTGTCCTCCTCCAGCCAGAGGTCAGACGCTGAAGACTGTGCTTCTCTCCTCAGAAAGGGACTGGCAGGAAGTGGGGACTCTGGAGGGCTGGACGTGGTTGCAAGGAGGCTGGGGGGTAGAGGTGGGCCGTGGGCCCTGCCCTGCCCCTGCCCTGCCCACCTTCAGGGCCGCTGAGTAATCCTCCAGCTCGGCCAGTCGCTCTCCGATCTTGCGGTGGGCCACCGCGCAGCCCAGCGGGTCGTCGACGCTCTCCAGGAGCTGGAGCTCATGCTGGTGCTCTCGCAGGGCCTCTGCGTAGCGTCCTGGGCGGGAGGCACGGCAGGCTTCAGCCCCCGCCGGGCAGTCAGCCAGGGGCCGCGCGGGCGGGCGGGCGGGCGGGCGAGGCTGTGGCTGGCCCCGGGCTGCCCGCTCCGCAAGGTTCCCGGCGCCCCTCCCCGCCGCCGGTCCCGGTCCCCCCCACTCTCCCAGCTGACCCGGTCCCGGACCACAGCCCGGGGCGGCCGCGGAGCGCGCACCATGGCTGGCCAGGAGCTCCCCCAGCTGGTGGCAGAGGGCGGCCTCGTCCCGCAGCTGCCCGTTCCTCTGGGCCTTGGCCTTGGCCTTGCTCAGCTCTGCAGAGAGAGGGAGACGGAGCCGGGAGGCTGGGGCCCTCCGCTCGGGCGGGCCGGACCCGCTCCCCGCCCCGCACCCGGCCGGGACACTCACGGCGAAGCTCTCGCTCCACGCTCATGCTCCCGCAACCGCGCGCCGGTCTCCGGACTTCCCGCGCTAACGCCGCGGCCCCGCCCGATGCCCCGCCCCTGCCGGGGCGGAGCCTCCCGGGAAATGTAGTCCTGCCGCCCGAAGCATCCTGGGAGCTGTGGTCCGGGTGGCGTCCTGATGGGAAGGGCGGTGAGAGAGCGGCGGGAGGATCCGCACCTGCCCAGACCCCCAGGGCGGCAGGGGAGCTGAGCCCCACCCTACGCTCCACCCCGGCCCCGCAGCCGCCCTTGGGGTGGGGTCTCCTGGTTAGTGCCATCGGGCTGCCGCTAACCTCTCCCGCGCGCGCTAGCCCCGCCCACACCTGCGACCTTACCTGGGGGACGCGCCGCCTTCACGCAGGAGGAGGTGGTGGGGTTTAGGGCCCGGGACCCCGGAGGACTGGAGAGACGCGCGGAGTCAAACCCGCCCCTTTCACGGAGTCTGCGGAACGGCCGCGAAGGCAGCCACAGCGGCGTCACGTTCGCGGACACAAACCCCCAGGGCTTGGCCGGGGAAAGGGGCGTGGACGTGTTTTCCAAAATGAACAGCGCCGAGTGCTTCCTCCTCGATGCACACGCACTGGCCCCTCGTGGGCGCGGTGCACCCGGGCCGCGACCTCTGAACGCACGTCCTGTCTCCCGCTTGGAGAGCCAGACACCTGCCACTCCATGGCAGGTCCAGCCCTGGGCGCTGGGTGCCGAGGCCGCGGTCCAAAGGCCCCAGAGGAGGGCCAGAATGATGGGGAGCTTAGATGGGTCTCTGGGTCCGGGGAAGACTGCCCATGGACAGCGGCCAGGCTTCAGGGATTCGAGCAAGGCCAAGCCCGAGGAAGTTTAAGAGTTGGGAAGTGGGACCCAGGTAACCCTCTTCTCTTGGAAGGGTAAAGCGCTCTTGGGTCCCTAGTTTGGTCTGAGGGTGGGGAGCCAAACAGGAAGGCCCTGAAACCAAGAGAGCTGCTTGGAGGGCCGGCTGGGGGAGTGTGAGGAGCACAGCCAGGGGCAAAGGTGGACACGGGGCGGGGGTGGGAGAGCAAGGATGCGGAAGTATAGACGGGCTCAGCTCAACAGGCCAACGGCAGAGGGAGTCTAACCAGGGCTGCTGGGAGCATTCAGCATTCACAAGACAGCCAGAGAGGACCCTGCTTCTCTCTGCCCACTGATCAGGCATGCGTATATGGGGCCGAACTGAGCAGGGGCGGGGGGGGGGGGGGGGGGGGGGGGTGTTTGGCGGCAGCAGCTTCTGACTCTTGTCCAGGCTGCTGGCAGAGCCCAGGGACACTCGTCCACGAGGCTGGCTTCTCATTTAAGGAAACACAGACAAAACGTGGTTTGGAATTTTTTTGAAACCATAGTTACATACAGAAAATATCCAAAGAGAACACAGACCACAATAGTGACATGTAAGTCATTTCCCACAGTGATAAAAACATCTCTCTCACTTTACTCTTTAAAAAATTACTTTTATTATCTTTGTAAATGTCTCACTTGGGTGAGCCGAGGGATGTAGTGCCCATAGGGGAGGGGTGATGGCAGGGACTGGAGGGGCCCCCAGGACTCCCCCACATCTGCCACGGTTCCTCCCCCTCTCTCTAGGTCAGGACGCCAAGATGGCAAGGGGTCCTGGAGAAAGACCGCTGGTGTTTTCTCCTTTCTAACAACATGGAGGGGACATTCCCCAGTAAATCAACCCCACCGGTGAGATGCCACAGGGAGGTTTATCGTGCCAGCTCCCAGGAGTGGCTGAGACGCACCACAATCTCCCGGGGTACCTGTCTCCAGCAGCTGAAAGCCTCAGCTGCTGAGCTGACCCTCACCGGGTGGGGGCCGTGCTGGGGACAGTTGCTGGGATGTATTACCACTCCTCCCGGGCACCCCCAGACACATACTCCTACAAGGAGAGCCTTGTGTGGGTGCCACTCTGTCCCCCGCATGCCCTTGGGCTGCCGGAAATAGTGGGCTATGCACCCACAGCACCCAGAAGCCCCTGGTGTGCAGATCCCAGCCCACCTGCCACCCCCATCCCAGAGGGCTGCTAGACCTGGGGATGCAAAAACAGGGCTGAGGCGGCCCAGCCACGTACCTGACCTGCACAGAGATTTGCTGCCCTCTACCCTGCCCCACTTGGGAGAGCCTTTGGGCGCCACCCCTCTGCGGGCTCCGATCTCTCGTGCATACACCCAAACAGGCAAGCCTGGCCTGCCCTGGCTCCTCAACCACATGGTCACCCTGAAATCCAGAAGCTCTAGAGATGGTGTCCACCCCTGAGAGAGGCTGAGATGCGATGACACAGCACCGTCTCCTCTACACACGAGACCTGGCACACAGCACTCTGAGCGTCCTCCTCCATGCCTGCCAGGTAGGGGGGCAGCCCCCAAGGGCAGTGGGACTCATGCCAGGGGGTGCCCCCAAGGATGTGCTGGGGGCTGGGGAGGCATCTTTCTTTGTGGAGGGTAGGAAAGCAAGCATAGCACCTCTGGGTGCCCTCAGCAGCCGGGCACAGACGGCCTCGCAGGAGGGGATCCCCTGTGAGCCCCGTGCCCTAGGCTGGAAACGGGAGGCTAAGCAGTCTTCTCAGTATAACTAGGCCAGCTGCCCTGGGGGAGAACTGGCTCAGAGGGCTGCCTGGGCTAGGCACTGGGATGAAGCTGTCAGTACCCCAGGATTCCCTGCCTCCATTTCTCAGCCCCCAGCTTCAGAGCTGGGAGGGGGAGGGACGGAAGAGCCATGCAGGCCTGCGGCTCTGCACTCTTGCTGCCTGGGCTCCCCTGCATGCTGAGCCGACTCGGCCCGGGAAATGGGGAGGTGGGGAGGTGTCGGGGGGAAGGACTGCTCTGAAGCACGGGGCAGGCCAGGCCAGGGGCAGAGCAAACGGTTCTTTGGTATTGAAGCAACAGAAACCTATCGCAGAAGAGCCGTGTTTCCCAAGCAAAGGCGGGGGGCCAAACTTCCCCTTTCTAGCAGCTCTGAGGGTCTCAAGGTCCTCCAGGCAGGGCTCCTTCCGCTGGTGTGAGGCCCACACACTGAGGCCTACTTGCCACAGGCCAGGGCCATGGGAGCAGCAAAGTGGAGGCTGTGAAGAGCCAGCCCCCTCCAGTGAGAAAGCGTGCTGCCCAAGGACTGACCTCCATGGGGGCCCCCAGAACACAGGGCCGGCAGCCAGTCCCTGACAGCAGGCTGGGGGTGGCCAGCCCACTCAAACCCTCACCCAGCCAGGCTGGCTCATCACCAGCAACCCCCACAGCTTCCCTCAGGCTGGGGTGCTGTGCCCTCAAGGCTGAATACAGAAAATAGATTCTCTCTTGCTAAATTTCATAACTTAGAGAAGAGCCTGTAAAGACTTCAGTCGTTTTCCTGGAAAGAGACAGAGCTTCACCCTGGATTCTGAAGCATCTGCTGAGCCCAGGGGGCCCAGTCCTGCCTCTCTGGAGCAGCTGGTTGGGGGGGGGGGGTGCACTGGGGCCGCTGCAAGGCCCCGGCTCAGGCTGCTCCCGGGTGCAGGCCTGTGGCGGAGGGAGCAATGCCTCCAAGTCTCCGGTGGGGGTGTGCACGGTGGCGGAGGCACAAGGACCTCTGGCCCCGGCCCCCAGGCCCAACCAAAGCTCCCCCAATGTCCAGTCGCAGCTACGCCTTTCCCTCAAACAAAACAGAAAGTAGGAAACAAGGGTGCCTTTTTAATTGCATCAAATATGCCGTCTGAAGTCCACGTGCTCCCTGAGCCCGGCCCAGAGCAGACAGTACGCCTCGCGGAGCCGCTGGGGGCCAGGGTGTGGCCCTGAACCACCGTCTCCTCCGCAGGTAGCCCGGCCTCCGGTGCCCGGGGCAGGGAGGCAGGGCAGAGGGCGAGGCGCGAGCACTCCCGCCTCCGCGCACGCATGCAGACTTCCCCAGTGTTCGCGCTGGCTCCTCCTCCTCCGCCGCGGAAGTGGGCAGCGGGCGCGGTGAAGCCACTGTGGCAGGCGCGGCGGCCGGGCGGCGCCGCCTACTTCTGGATCTGGAACAGGAAGAGCCGCAGGTTGATGTTCTTGGCGGCCAGCAGTTTGTTGCACTCCACGGAGTCGGCGATGGGCAGCGGCACGTAGTCCGTCTCGTTGCTCTCGTTGCTGAAGACGAAGTGGTAGATGACGGGGCTGATCTTCACATCATCGTACGGGCCCTTGAGCAGCAGGAAGGAGCACTCCAGGGGCGCCGTGACCTTGCTCTTGAGGAGGAGCTGGAAGGACAGCGTGCGCTTGCACGACAGGTTGGGGTTCCGCTCCGAGTCGTTCACGCGCGCCTTCAGGACCCACGTCTGGTTCAGCACCGTGAACCTCGGCGTCTCGTAGTACAGGCGCGTGATGAAGTCATCCGTGCGGTACGGCCGGAACTGGACCTCTGTGGAGACAGACAGGCCGGGAAGAGCCGGCAGTCAGTGCAGGCGGGGCCGGGGACGGCGCCTTCCAGAGGCCGAGCGAGGACAGAGGCTCAGCCGGGGAGGAAGGCAACTTACCCGCAGGACAGAGCGTGCTCTACTTGTCACAAGGCAAATCAAACGCAATTATGGCAAATGGAGGCGCACACAAGCTTGGGGGAAACAACTACAAACAGAAGTGACACGCATTAGCGGCAGGGGGTCCAGGCGCTGAAAGAGGTGAGCGCCCGCCCCTCGCTGTCCTCCCTCTCTGCCTCCCCCAGGGCCCAGCCCAGGCAGAGGGAGGCCCACCCGGGGGGCGTGGGTAAGCAGACACACAGACAGGATGCGTTCTGAGAACAAGTGCACTTTATTGGTTCGGATACAGAGCTGCCAGAAACGCCGGCAGGCGGGCACGCGGCCCGAGAGCCTGTATGGGGCGCAAGGTGGAGCGCCGGCGTGTGGCCCGGTGCTGGGCGCCTGTGCTGTCACACAGTTCTCTCAGCACAGCCCGGGGCCCGTGGCCCGCGAGTTCCTCCACGGAGGCGGCCAGTCCTTCCTGTGTGCACGGGGATCCCTGCCCGGCCACCGCCACCGTCATGATGCCTCGGCCCGCCCAGAC